GAATGCGCGGGCCAGATCGCGTAGGGCAGGCCCCAGGTCCGCACGGCCCCACAGGCCGTCAGTGAACAGCGCCAGCGCGTCGTCCTGTAGCGCCCCGTGCAGGTCAAAGTCCTCCACCAGAATTTGCCAAAGCACCGCGCGCGGCGAGGGGTCGCCGCAGACGCCCGCGCGGCCCCGCCGCAGCTCGCGCTCCAGGCACTGGCGATAGTCCTCTGACAGCGAGCTGCTGCCCATCCTGACCGAGCGCGGGACGAGGTGTCAAACTAGAGACCATGTCGCCTCAGCTGTGCGACTCCCGAGCCCGCACCCAGCAACCCCAGGGCCCCCTCCAACCTGGAAACAAACCTTGGCGGCTTAGCGAATCTCAGAACCTATTGTCCCCTTCATCCAGGAGATGTGGACGCCGACAGTTGGGTGACCAGGGTATCTTTAGCTTCCCCTCCCCAGGAGACCTTCAGCCCGACTTGCTGAGCGCCCTTGTATCAACAGCACCCTCCTCCAGTGGCTCCCCGCTCCCGCCAGCTGAGCCTTTTGCAACCAGAGCCCCTTTCCCACTAACCGACCATACTGTAGACCCCGCGGGCGGCGGTGCTACCTGCTAGTCCCCAGCGGTCCCAGAGAGCTCTGCTTGGGCCTGGGTCTAGCCTCTCGCTTCCGCAGAGAGTCAAGCCCGCCCCTTGGCCTTGGTCGTGACGTCGGGGGGCGAGGCTGGAATCGGGTGCCACCCTTTCGGCTAAGTGGGAGGGTGGCGGTGTGGGCGTGGCCTGCCTTGGCGGCTCACCTTTTGAGGTTCTCTGAAATTCGCCAGTCTCCAAGTTCCTAGTCCTTCAACTAGTCTGTGGTCGTTAATCGCCTGGTTCCGAGCCAGGGTGTGGAAGTGCACAGTGGGTGTATAATACAGGTCACTGAGATATACCTAGTAAAGCCTCATCGGGTTGAAAATCAGGCTGAACTCTGGCTTCTTAAGCCAACCCGAAGAATAGTCAAATACCCGCGAGGCGGAGCTGACTTGGCTGGCAGATCGTGGACCAAAGGAGCTCAAATATATTTCTTTAAATGCAATTTAAAACGGGTGGGGTGAAGGATTGCTCTGTGGGTAAGAGCAACTTACATGGCAGTTCACAACCGTCTGTAACTCTAGTTCCCAACACCCACTTCTGGCCTCTGAATCTGGCACACATTTGATGCACATACATGCAGGCAAAACGCTCATACACCATAAATAATAACAAAACAAAATGGGTGGCGTCAGAGTCTGACTCTGCAGGCTTTGTTTCCCAGTCCGTAAGAAAAGTCGGTTAGTGGGTATCTGAGGTAG